AGAAGACGTAATTTTTCTGTACCATGTAATGTATTTGTACAACACATTTCGAACAATCTGATCACATACGTGCTTACTATAGGTTATGAAGAGATGAGGGGTAAAAATATGAAAAAAGGTCAAGTAGAAAGGCTGAAAGGCCGAATACCTATGAAAATCAATAGAGTGAAAATAACAGAACATCGAACCTGGTTTTTATAGTTGTATTCACCAAGGGAGATTTAAATCTCGCTTAAACATCCTAATAGCTAAGGCCTCGTTGAACTTATGGATCTGTTCTCAACATGTTTTGTCGATAAGTCTAAGGGAAGTAGCGACGTCACTCCTGTGACCTGTGCCAACGATATGTTTCGTGGTCGAACAACTTGGTTGTCTTCTATAAACTTATATGTGTTCAGATGGTTCAATTTGCTTGTTAATCTACCTTGGGATATATTCCAAGGCGCTAACTTGCATAGATCTATGAGTCTTCCCCTATGTATGTGTCACTAGACGTACATTTGAATTGGTAGATGTAATTGGATGTGATATTATCGTTCACATATTGTAAGGGTTTGAGAGAGTATACACGTTTGATGGTTTCTGTTAATCGGATCCTTAGGTGCACAGTAAGTCCTTCTAATATCAGGGTCTCTGCTTAAGGATTGGACTATGAGATTCACTTTTCTACGGAAGATTTGTGAAGACATTTTTCTTCGGAACAAAGTGAAGAACAGGTTTCGTACTATGGTTGCTTTGTTCTGGTTATTATATTTTGATGGGTAATTCTTTTCCAAAAGTGTTTCAGTCAATGTTCTTGTCTGGATTGACGTTACTACTTCCTTTAGATCTACTTATAAAACGTGTTGAGAACAGATCCTTAAACTTCTGTCTTTGAAAACAATTTGCTTTGACAATAAATCTCCCTTGATGAATTCAACTCTGATTATCAAGGTCGCATGAACTACTTTTTTTCGTTCTACTCATCTTGATTATTATTTTAGCCTTTAATTCAGACTTCCTACTTGACTTCTTTTCATATCTTCATGCCTCATCTTTTTATAACCATCTATATGAATACCTATGACAAACATATGTATTTCAAGTTGTTATTCATCGTAGACTGACATCAGTTGGATGAACAAAGGAAACCTGGGAGCACTAGACAGCTGTTTCGTCCTAGTATGGGACTCCTCAGCAGTGCGCACCCACGACCCCACCAGCAGGGATCGAACCCGCGACCTCCAGGTTCCGCGACCAGCGCGTTACCATTGAGCCACTGGGTCAGAATCCAATGCTCCATATTTCCAACTTCTGTTAGCTCACGATATAGCGCAAACCGCCACCCAATGTCATCGTCGAGTATTTGTCCTCACGACCATCAGGCTTTGACTCCACCGATCACGACTTGTCATTGGAACTTCGGGAATACTTCTCGAAGCTAGTCACCAAAGAGCACTAGTTCAATTAAATTTTGAGGGGGTTGTGGAGATTTGGAAATATTTCAAGTTGTTATTCATCGAAGACATATGTATGATCAAATTATTCGAAATACGTTGCTCAAGTACATTATGCGATACAGATAAATTATATCTTCTTATTGTCTCATAGAATCTTTATTTTGTTGAATTTATAACTCTAGATTCATACTACAATTAAGTTATTATCCTCATTGGTTGGTTTTAAAGTTGAAGCTTGGCTAAGTGTAGAAGATGAATTTTGAAAACTATTGGTGCGATATGCATAACAACTCAAGTTTGTTATCATTCACTTTTTCATGAAATATTTTTTTTCTGTGATGCCTATAGTTAGTCGCATCTTCAGCTAAATTACACCGAGTCGATCGGTCACTATTGACATTTAGTCTCTTGTGTGGATGCCTAGATATTAAGCCAATAGTTTCAGCTTGAAATTGATGATGAATTCTGGCTAACAGTAGAGTCAAAGATGTGTATACCTACTTATTTGGAACTGTTGTTATGTCAGTGTTATGTCATAAATTCCATCTGATAATCATAGTATCTAACTTTCTAATGAACATTTTAGTAGCAAAGAAAACAGAGCCAAAGAATGTTGGCTGATGAGTATTTTTATTCTTCTTAGCTATAACTATGTAAGGATAGTAAGGTAGTTGAAACTGTAGCAATTCTATTGCTTGTTGTTTACCTTAGTGTTTGAATTTTCCGCTTTGTTTAGGGCAGTATCTTGTATATATGCTAATCAAACTGTATCCTCTCCTCAAAGTATATCAGCTTAATAACAACTGATACCCGTTGTAAAAGAAGGGACTGTTGTAACTCTGTGCCCTAATGGATAACTCTTTGACTTCTGAAGTGATGGATACTAGATTCTAATCCCAATGGGGGATACAACATCATTCACTGAGGTAATGGTACATCCAGCTGATTAGTCGTAAATGGAACGGAACTCATTTCATCGATTTCACTATTAACCACTAAGTGAACCATGCTACGTTAGCTAACAACTTTACTTTCGAAATAATACACTGAACAATCGAGAACCTCATGTTATAAACTAGTTATGTATATGAAATGTTGTATTGTCTTATCTTTTTGTTCAGTGGTGTACACAATTAACCTTTTGACACTATTTTTTGAATCACCTCATATAATGAATATATAACAGTGGTTATAGGTTTAACAGAATTAGAGAGAAAGCATTTTGTAAAGTGAAACGTAAAATCCTAGTATGTGTTCATCATATTAGTAACTGTAACCTGATGTTTTAATTTGGTTTTCTATAATAATAAAAAAACATTTTCTAATCGAAAGACAGTAGAGAGAATAGACCATGTTTTCACTGGATTTGTTATATATTTTCTCCTCGTTATCATCAGTTTTTTAATCAGATTCTTTGATGTTTTGTTCATATCTAAAATACAATTTATTATATTATTTGTCCCTTGGGTGCCTAGTGGAACATACGGCTTCAGTAGCATATCTCCATTTCACTTTCTTCTCTGCAGTCTTTTTCTTTAACCTGGCTCCACGACTGCTCACATGCCTTCAGTTCTTCCTCACATGATCTCCTCGATGTCACCCTCGGACGCCTAACTCGTCATTTCCCCTTTGGATTCACTTGACGGCCTGACGCCTGATGTCTCCGAATCGTTTTCTTAGTGTATGCCCAATCCACCTCCACTTCTGCATATATTTTCTTTGTACTTTGAAGTTTGTTTCGCGATTGAATTGGTTTTACGGGGTAGGGTTACTAGTCCTATGCTCAATCTTCCCTCTTTATTCAGGCTTAGGACCGGCTAGTAATTAGTGAACTAGTTAAGTATGCGAGGTTCCAAAATAAAATGATGACAGTATAATTAGTAGTGGTATATTATCATAAATTGATAAACGTAGGGAACTGTAAACCACTGAACTCCCATCCAATGGTTGATTGATCAACACGTTCACCGTGAAACATGAAGCTTTTGGGTTCGATCACTGGGTGTGCGCTGCTGTCAAGTCCTATACTAGGACGAAACAGCTGTCTACTACTGTTATGTTTTCAATGATTTTCTAACTATGATGTCAGTCCATGATAAAAATCGAATTGATATACTACAAGTATTTGTCAACATTTTCATTACATAAAGTAACCGTAATGCATACATAATCCCTTTTCCCATGTTAATATTGCTGTTAATTTCGTGTTTTCCATCGGTGTTGCATCTATTTTTTCAACGCATAAACTGCATAATGCTGAATATGCCAATATCATTATTCATTAAAATAGTGGTAATACATTTCCCTGCATCGATTCAACTTGCTACATTTCACGGTAGTATACAAAGAACAAGTGGATAGAAGAAGAATCATATCAAAGTAGATAAAGTTATGTGAGAGAATAAACAATTTGAAGATAAGGGTTAATCCAAACACTCTAGCTTTTGAAGACATCAAAGGATAAATAAATCCCCACCATTGTGACCGATTTTCAGCCATGTCACCGAGAGACCTCAACCACTAATTCCTTTCTTCTTGGGGACCCCAGCTAACCAGGAAGTCTTCATCTCCCAACACGGCTCAGACCAACGGTCAGAGACTTCATCAACTGATGCCACGTCTCGGTCTGGTCACCACCAACCTTCTTGCAGCCCAATCCAATCCCCCTCTACCATGGCACGTAGGGGTAGACGGTGGCTCGGCATGTGCTGTTCACGTCGAAGCCATCTCGGTGGACTTATGTTTACAACCTCATGAACTGACTTGCCTTCCCTCCCTAGAACCTTTCGCGTGATTTCAACATTCTTGACACAATGATTCCATGAAACGCAAGCAATGCTTCGAAGACATTAGTGATCAAAAACCTGTAGTCATTTCATATCTTCTACTTTTGACGGCCATGTCTCAGCTATATAACAGGACAAAAAGGACTGCAGCACAGTATATTCGTCCTTTGATAGATACTCGGACATCTCACTTAATATGCCTTCTGAATCTGAGCTAAAATTTTGGTAGCAACCAGCCCATTCAAGTTGATGCTACTCCCCGAGTAAGCATGCCACCGATTCACTCGCTATCCTTAAACTGGGAGTCGTTGCAAATCTGTCCTAGAGCATCATTATTTTATATTTGATAAGTCCGAGAAACATACCAAGCATTGAGTAGATAACTTGAGTTCACATTATCGTTACAAACAAAGAAACCTAACAATCATATCTACATTTGTCGGTTTAAGCTATGAGTTAAATTTTGTTAGGTAGAAAGATATTCAAAGTTGTATTGCATCAATCAACATATCACTATTCAACGCAGTATAACTGACGACTGCATTAAATTGCTACGATAGATTGTTTGTTCTCAAATCCTAGTTGACTCATAATGTTACAACTTATTTTATGATGATGACTTTTATTCAGCTATATAAATCGATGACGATATTGTGTTTTATACTTCTTCCAACAAAGAATAAGTGAAACCGGATAAAAAGCAGTTATTTCTTAAGGTATATATAGTCATGACTTAATTTACTCCCTTGTCATTTCTTTTCATTCTCTTAAACAGATGAACGTGTAGGCAATCTATTATTTATCACAAAAGATGCAATAACTACTTCACATGTAAAATCTCAAGTTAAATCGATAATTCGTCAAACTTGGTCTAATCCACCACAACATGGTGCACGAATTGTTGCTACAGTTTTAAATAATCCTTCGTTATTCAATGAATGGTAAGTAATTGTTTGTAGGTTAGTGTCTTCCCTTTTGTTTAACTGTACTGAATGCATATTTTTGACTGTCTGACATAGTCCTAGTTTGATAGACTGGGAAATGATTGAAGACGAATTGAAAACTTGGGCCACGGCTGGATTCAAACCGGAGACCATCGAGTTTCTGACTCAGTGTTTTGCCAACTGAGCTACGAGACCTAACTTTTGACCAGATTTTTATTTCACTTAAATTATAAAGAATTTTCCCCTACTACTATGTGAATTTGTGACGCATTACTATCACTTCATCCTACTCATACCGTGACAATCCTTGGTGATTGAAGTGACGTAAAAATCTGATCAGTAGTCCAGTTTTGTAGCTCAGTTTGGTAAAGCACCGGACCAGAAACTCAGTAACTGCTGGTTCAAATCCTTCCGTGGTCCCAATTTTCATTTTTAGCTTCAATCATCACCCAATGTTAGTGTTAAATGATTGTTTCAGTAACTTCGGATCATGTAGGCGTTGTGTTAATTAGTATTCGGAAAGCTTGTAGTAGTTTTTAATTATACAGTAATGATGGATAGTGGCTAGCAGTGGGATCCGGGACAATGGCTCGATGGTCTACTGGGTAACGCTTTGGTGTTTGAAGCGAGCGGCCCCTGGTTCGAACCCCGGTGGGGACATCACCACTCACTGGAAGGCGTTTACTATCATCATGGTTGTGTCTATCGTCTTTATTAGTATCAGTATTACTATTAATATTGTCATATTATTATTATTATTATTATTATTATTATTGTCATTAACATTGTTACACTAATATAGTAACAATAATAATAATATAATGGTGATAATAATCGCTTCATTCCAAACAATATGTATGACAGTATGGAATTCTTAGCATGTGATTTTTCAACAAATTCACTCCCAGAACAATATTTTCAGTCAAAATGGTTATTGGATCTGTATCATGTTAATAATAAAAGTATTCAAGGCAATAATATGAAATAACCAGCTGGTTCTGGATGAACGTCCGGTCCACAACGAAGAATCAACAAAAATTCAAGCTTAATTTTGGTGGTGATTGATTCAGACAGTACAAAAGTCTGCAACTTAAGTTTTGTGCATTGAAAAGTCCGTTTCCATATAATGTAACATTTTTCTTCTACTCTATTATTGATTCAAGAAATGGAGAGTTAAAAACAATTTAAAAATGTGCAAGAGTACATCATACGTTTAGATAACATATTTAAATGATTAAAACAAATTGAAATGAAAGAATTTGATGAAAACTGTTCGATGGATAAACTTGAGAGCCCAAGGTTCAAGCAGGTCACCATGGAAAGCATTGTAGATCAGTATAACGAAAATAATAGTTCATGAAACTTGGTTTCAGTGTTGAATTGCTCAAAGGAGGTTCCATGTGATAACAAATTATTTTTAAACATAAGAAGGTGGTTTAAACTTCCTGATAGCGAAAACTTCGATAAATTTCAGGATTTGTTCTCAACGCGTTTTGTAAATTGGTCTAAAAGAAGTCACAACGTCAATTCTGTGACCTGTTTCAACAATGTTTTGCAATCGAACAACTTTGACATCTACCAGCCAGTTTGGAATATATTCCGAGACCCTAACTTGCATGGATCTATGAGACCTCCCTATGTATGTGTCACTAGACGTACATTTGAATTTGTAGATGTAATGGCATGTGATACTGTCGTTCATATGCTGTAAGGGTTTAGGAGAGTATACAGGTTTGATGGTTTCTGTTAGAATCCGAACTTGTTGTTGTTCAGGAAGTAAGTAAGTAAGTATGATATTATAGAGCTGAATTATTTCGCAGAGTTGCACTAGGCACACAAAATAGTCATTAGTTGGTAACTAAGTTCTTTTCGTAACTTCCAGTGATAAATTGTTACTAGTTTCAAGTGTTTAGATGCTATCAGTATGAGGTTATGGAACTAAGTTCCTCATATATAAAGTTTGACCTAAAATCCCACTCTACATGCAAGTAAAGCTTCTGCTTGTTCATTGCTACGGGCAGTCGACTTCTAACCAATGCGCGAGGTTGAGGTGGTCATGACTTCGTACCATACTCCATTTACTGAGATTTTGGGGACCAATAGGTACGACTAACTGTCCGCCACTTGAATGTGTATATGGTTCCTGAAAGAGTGGTTGGTTGTTTTACTTAAGACTCAATAAGTGTGGCCGATAGCATTATTGCGATTCACTTTGCTAAAGCAGAGAGTTAGTGGTACTGTCAATGTTACAATCTGCTGCCTCTTTATTGTAACTATTTTGCCTGTTACGTCATCAACCCCGAAAGTGAGTGGATTTTCTTGCATCTAATCTGTAATATAAAAACAACTGATTATTATTGTGAATATGGTAGGTGGCTATCAATAAGACATGTATTCCGTCCTTTTTGCGAATCGTCAGCTGGGTATACGTCTATATCCGATTGACTGGTTGATTTTCTCACTGGGACTCGAACCCATCGCTCCGAATACCAAAGCGTTATCCCCTAGGCCATTGAGGCACGATAGCCACCTCTTGTACAGTGGTTATCAGTTATTATTTATTCCTACTGTAGTGGCGTTGCTGATTAAAATCGATATAAGCAGTATATGTTGAGAGGGCGGCAGAAATCATAGACAATTACCAGCAATGGGTAAAGATTCTGCCCAGAGAAATGCAACGGCCAATTTGGGCGTATTAAGAGCAAATCAAGATAGAAACAGTAGAGGAAATAAAACACATTATGCAAATGACTACTGTACAAGATGTCAATAATAAACATTCCTTCCTTCGTCTCATTCTTATCGTTTCTACACTACTCGTAATTTCTTGGTGTTATATACTGAATCGAATTCGTCAACTCACCTGTCAACAGAGGTTGATTGATTCTATACCATCGAATAAAGGGTTGAATTTGCTGTGGTTCAGTTCGCTCTGTTCTGTTGTTCGGCTGTGAAAATTGCCCATTTAAGGTAGGAGGACATGAGAAGGCTGTAAGGGCTTGACTATCGCTGCCTTCGTAGCATAAGCTGTGAGTCACGGTCTCACCACATGAGTAAAACAGAAGTCACGTGTAAAGTTTTGGGGGTGGAGAGGAACGTCACTTGATAAGGTCGTGAACCTTCATCAACCGATATGTGTTGTCCACGCCTAGTCACCATCTGCCTTGTCACACTATGTTAACTGAAGTATGTTCAGGCTAGGAAGGGGTTCGAGGGGCCCAGACTAAAACATGGCATCAGTCCCCGACTGTTTGTTTAAGCCATGTAGATGAATGCAGACTTTCCGGTTGGGGTTCATATGACAACAGAAACCAGTGGTTGGAGACTTTAGATAATTTGGCTTCAAATCAATGTCCACAGTTTATATTCATCGTAACCGCTATACTGAATTCAGCATTTTCTCATTCCTCCTTCTTCTCTCTTACTACTTTCTACTGATTTTGACCTATTTTTCTTTATATTTCATCTTACTACTCTGCTACTTGGTGTGCGGAAATGAAGTATGGCAAGTTGCATCGCTAGGTAGTAATGCTTTTTCTGATGTTGATATTGATCGATTCCATATTTTGTAATGGCCGTTTATACTTCAATAAGGAAAATACTATAATGACTACGAGTTGGTCACCAGTGGGTAACCCATACAGTTACCTAGTCCTTAGCGTCCTGAGCACTGATCGAAGTTCATGCATCAAGTCCGTTCATAGCTACCGATGAGTGCTAATAAGTGCGAAGCGTAGGTCTAGTAGGGTTTCGTGTTGATTGAATCATAACATCTAGTACTAAAATACCATTCGCCTGTTGAAATTCCCCAAGTCTCAATAGAATAAATATTGAAAAACAAAACTATTGACCAGTTAAGCAAAAAATGACATTCAACTAATACTGGACAATATGACTAATACATATTCCTAGGAAAACCGTTTTACAAGGTATATATATATATATATATATATATATATATATATATATATTATAATATATATATATATATATATATATATATATATATATATATATATATATATATGAAGACTTAGTCATTGAATAGCTAGACAGAAGACTTTGACTATTGTATATCTGTCAGTTTCGATTGATTTTATCACATACAAAGTAACTTTGTGTTTTTCAACTCCCGGGTTATAATTACTTAAGTGAAAATTATTTTTAATAGTCAGTGTAGTAAATAAATAAACAAGTCAATAATTAAAAGAATATTCTTTTCAATTGAAATACCCACTAATTCATTCATAATCTGATCGCTGGATAGAATAGTTTGACTGGCTTAGTTGTAAAGTCTCTGACTTTACTGCTGAATCCTACAGATTAGAATCTTTGAGAGAGAAAATATGAGGTACTTCAATGTTGCAGACAGATATCATTGATGGTTAATGTTATAGTGTGGAGAAAGACTTCTCAAATACTTCTTGAAAGCCCTATAACCTCGTAAGCCTTTCACAAAAACCCATGTCAAGCTACGTGTCAATATCAGATTGATTGAAGAGGTAAACCGGATAGGATAGGAGGTCAATCACGGCCCGAATAGCTCAGTGATAAGGCCGCTAACTACAACACTGGATGACGCGGGTTTGAATCTCAGGCGGGACATCAGTTCCATAGAGGTTGCAGATACGCTTTGCTGACGAGTGCCAAAAAGCACGAAACCTAGATTCAGGGCTTTCTACCGATTACCTTCAACCAACTAAAATCTACTAATGTGCACCGCGATGCTGAGCCCTCTCGCTTGGTTGCCACATTACAAATATGATCGATAAGATTCGGTTTGCACTCAAGACTAGACAACATGAAATTGGTTGCACTCCCGTGACCAATCAATACGGATAGGATATATGCTCGTGAAAAGGTTTGGAAATAGTCTAAGCCATTGTAAATGTACACAAACCGTGGTATTTTGTACATATTTTCACGTTTACAATACATTTTGTCTTATTATTATAGTATTTGTGTTTCTCAATGAGAATGTAAAATAAAATAAATTG